CTCCTGGGACAAACCTGGACCTGAGACCTACCATCTACCTACTGGGACAAACGTGATACCTACCATCTACCTCCTGGGACAAACCTGGACCTGAGACGTACCATCTGCCTACTGGGACAAACGTGAGACCTACCATCTACCTACTGGGACAAACCTGGACCTGAGACCTACCATCTACCTACTGGGACAAACGTGAGACCTACCATCTACCTCCTGGGACAAACCTGGACCTGAGACCTACCAGCTACCTACTGGGACAAACCTGGACCTGATATCCACCAGATACCTACTGGGACAAACCTGGACCTGAGACTTACCAGCTACCTGCTGGGACAAACCTGGACCTGAGACCTACCAACTGACTACTGAGACAAACCTGGACCTGAGACCTACCAACTGACTACTGAGACAAACCTGGACCTGAGACCTACCAGCTACCTGCTGGGACAAACCTGGCCTTAGCGCCTGGCAGTGTCAACTCTGTGGTGATGGATGACTGGATCTCAGAGGTGGACTGCAGCACTGCAGCATAGAGGATGATGCTGGGGAAGAGACTAATGTACTAATTTAGCCCATAGACTCCTAACAGGAGTCATTCCAATACAATGAGACACCTGAATCTGATATAAACACCATTAGCAGATGCTTCTGAATACATTAAATACATGAATCCATTTCAGCCCTAGATTTGGGTTGTGGGATTGACAGTGTTAACAATGTGTAACTACTGATTGACAGTGTTAACAATGTGTAACCACTGATTGACAGTGTTAACAATGTGTAACCATAGACTGACAGTGTTAACAATGTGTAACCCCTGATTGACAGTGTTAACAATGTGTAACCACTGTGGAGATAAAGTTGATATGTAAATACTGTGTTGTTGACTGACTGATTATTAAAGCAGAACAACAGAATACCTCTGACCAGCTTCTTTTGAGGCCAGCTACAGTCATTACAAGCTGTTAGGTCAGCACTGCTGCCCCCTGTAGGTCATATGAAGGAAGTGTCTATTCAAATGTACTTCTATAACTGATCACTAGCAGTCCTCCAACAGGCCAGGAGGAAGTTCATAGACTTCACATACAGCATCATAATAATTACCTTTATACACTCTCTTACTCTGTAGATCTATGTTATTCAGATGAGATATATGTTGGGACTGAGTCCAATCTGACAGCCTCTGATAGTTTGATGGTGTCTGTCATTCAGATGAGCTATCTGTTGAGTCTGTGTTACAGGAGGGGGTCGCAGTTCCGGAGCGACCCACTAGGTGTCATCCTCCGACAACCTTAGGCACCTCCTCACTCACAGTCTGGACTAATCATTATCCTATTGGTGTCTCCTGTGTTTACCTGTTCACCCGTGTATTTATGCCCTCCTTCCCTGTGTTCCCTTGCTCTGTTTTCTCTGCTAGTTTCTCGATGCCAAACAGTACTAATCAGTGTCTGATCGCGAGACGTATGTACAGGTACTTGAGAAGTGTTCTTCCTGTTTCATTGTTGTTTTCAGTCATAGTTAGTATTTCAAATGTTTGCTGTCAGCCTGTTTTTGGAGACCAAGTTGCTCCTCCTTTATTTTATTGTGACAAGTCTGTTATTTTCTATCCTGGTTTTGGGACCACCAGTAATGATCCATGTTTCACCATCTCTGCCTACAGCCTACCGTCTATCCTGCACCGCACCTGGGTCATACCTCACACCAACCTTTACAGGACTGAGTCCAATATTTCAGCCTCTGATAGTTTGATGGTTTCTGGAGGAGACTCCTAATGTACAGGTGGTCCTGATTTATGGGCTGACATATCTAACCAGGCCCAGAGCTTCATAGATGACACAACACACACACACATACACACACACACACACACACACACACACACACCACACACACCCACACACACACATACACACACCGGTTTTAGAAAGTGACGTTTTATGGTTTATACGTTTTATAAGAGATTCACTTTTACTGCCGAAGCTGATTTTTAAAGAGACAAACTATTTAAAGTATTTTACTGTGTAGAGAGAGAAATGGACTATATCAATGACCATACTGTGATAAAATGAAACCTTTCCTACTCCTTACCCTACAGCTCCTTAACGTGTTGGAATTGCTTTTTGTTGTGTCCAGGGATGGAATTAAAAAAGTCATTCTGGAAACTCAGCATTGTAAAATAAATCACCATGGGAATTCAGCAAAAAATATATGATGTTTTGTGTCAAAATGTTGCTTGGAGAACTTTGCTTCCGTGCATTCCCTCCATTTCCACCCCTGCTTATATCATTTTCACATTTTTGAATTAATTCAATCTACCATAGAGACACTCATGCACCTCAGCCACGCTCAAGATCTTAAACGATATAATAACCGCGATCGATAAAAGACAGTACTGTGCAGCCGTCTTTATCGACCTGGCCAAGGCTTTTGACTCTGTCAATCACCGCATTCTTGTTGGCAGACTAAATAGCCTTGGTTTCTCAAATGACTGCCTCGCCTGGTTCACCAACTACTTCTCAGATAGAGTTCAATGTGTCAATTTGGAGGGCCTGTTGTCTGGACCTCTGGCAGTCTCTATGGGGGTGCCACAGGGTTCAATTCTCGGGCCGACTCTATTCTCTGTGTATATCAATGATGTCGCTCTTGCTGCTGGTGACTCTCAGATCCACCTCTACGCAGACGACACCATTGGATGTAGTCTATCACAGTGCCATCCGTTTTGTCACCAAAGCCCCATATACTACCCACCATTGTGACTTGTATGCTCTCGTTGGCTGGCCCTCACTACATATTCATCGCCAAACCCACTGGCTCCAGGTCATCTATAAATCTCTTCTAGGAAAATCCCCGCCTTAACTTAGATCATTGGTCACCATAGCAACACCCACCGTAGTATGCGTTCCAGCAGGTATATCTCACTGGTCATCCCCAAAGCCAACACCTCCTTTGGCCGCCATTCCTTCCAGTTCTCTGCTGCAAAAGACTGGAACGAACTGCAAAAATCTCTGAAGCTGGAGACACTTATCTCTCTCACTATCTTTAAGCATCAGTTGTCAGAGCAGCTTACCGATCACTGCACCTGTACACAGCCCATCTGTAATTAGCCCACCCAACTACCTCATCCCCATATTGTTATTTACATTGTTATTTATTTTGCTCATTTGCACCCCAGTATCTCTATTTGCACATCATCTTCTGCACATCTATCACTCCAGTGTTAATACTAAATTGTAATTATTTTGCACTATGGCCTATTTATTGTCTTACCTCCATAACTTACTACATTTGCACACACTGTATATAGATTTTCTATTGTGTTATTGACTGTACGTTTTGTTTATTCCATATGTGTTTGTTATTTTTATCACACTGCTTTGCTTTATCTTGGCCAGGTCGCAGTTGTAAATGAGAACTTGTTCTCAACTGGCTTACCTGGTTAAATAAAGGTGAAATAATTAAAATAAAATAAATAAACTAATTTGCTAAAGCCCACAGCATGATCACAACATTCTCACAATTCCGTATTATGATGTCATTCCACAGTCTCATCACATGGCTGTTGTGGATCAAAGTGGGGTCTGTTCTCTGAGCCTCTCTTCTTCTGGTAACACTCGGGTGAAGTTGCCCTGAGTAGACACTGATCTTGGGTCAGTTTTGCATTTTCCCCACTAATGGTTAAGGTTAGGATTGGGGGAGGTTAAGCTGATTCTAGATTTGTACCTAAGGGAATCTTCACCCTGGAGCGTAACACTCATTGAGGCGTGCTCTGATTACTTCTTAATCGTCTGAACTGTGACTCTCACATGATGCTGCTAGAATCCCTGGGAGACCTGGGCTGTATTCATTAGGAACCAAACAGACTAACCCTAACCCTCTCACATGATGTTGCTGGAATCACTGGGATCCCTGGGATTTATTCATTAGGAACCAAACAGACTAACCCTAACCCTCTCACATGATGTTGCTGGAATCACTGGGATCCCTGGGCTGTATTCATTAGGAACCAAACAGACTAACCCTAACCCTCTCAAATGATGTTGCTGGAATCACTGGGATCCCTGGGCTGTATTCATTAGGAACCAAACAGACTAGCCCTAACCCTCTCACATGATGTTGCTGGAATCACTGGGATCCCTGGGCTGTATTCATTAGGAACCAAACAGACTAACCCTAACCCTCTCACATGATGTTGCTGGAATCACTGGGATCCCTGGGCTGTATTCATTAGGAACCAAACAGACTAACCCTAACCCTCTCACATGATGTTGCTGGAATCACTGGGATCCCTGGGCTGTATTCATTAGGAACCAAACAGACTAACCCTAACCCTCTCAACTGATGTTGCTGGAATCACTGGGATCCCTGGGCTGTATTCATTAGGAACCAAAAAGACTTCCCCTAACCCTCTCACATGATGTTGCTGGAATCACTGGGATCCCTGGGCTGTATTCATTAGGAACCAAACAGACTAACCCTAACCCTCTCACATGATGTTGCTGGAATCACTGGGAGCCCTGGGCTTTATTCATTAGGAACCAAACAAAAGCCAATGGGCCAAAACGGGGGAGGGATCTACATGAATTTGTCCAATAAGAAACTCTTGTTTCCGTTACAAATCATTTTGCTACAGTGTGCACTAGTGAATACACACACGTCTGTCTGCTGGAGCCCTGAGCTAACTACCCACTCACCACACCACACTGCACAGAGCTGTACTGACCTGGCTTCCACCTCCTCTACTCTCTCCCTTTCCCCTCAGACAGTCCCCTCTCCTCTCCTCTCCTCTCCTCTCCTCTCCTCTCCTCTCCTCTCCTCTCCTCTCCTCTCCTCTCCTCTCCTCTCTGTCCTGTAGTCTCTTAAACTGACTGGAAGACAGGGGGAGAATCACCTCTCATACAGTGACTAGCTAAGAGGACAGAGGAATAATATTTTCTGAGAGGACAGGGGAATAATATTTTCTGAGAGGACAGAGGGAGAACCGTTTCCTGGCAGCTAGGAAGATGAGGGGGTTCCAGTCCATGAGATGGTTTCGTTTTCCCTGGTTGAGGAGAGAGACCGCACAGACTGAGACCAGCCCACTCATACCAAAGGTACAGGAACTGTCTGTCTGTCTGACAACCTGTATACTGTTAGTTATATACTCACTGTACATCGTACTGAATAGAGTTTACAGACCTTTCAACATTGCAAGCATAGAAAAACAATCTAGAAAGGACTTGCAACTTTTAACCCTGTCCATTTGACTGGTAAACTCACGGGTACACTCGCAATGGCTACCATTCACCCATTATGCCGTTCTTTACTTAAATGGGGGGACCTGTTCTATAGATTATATTTATATGGTTGAGAGTAGGCTAAACCTAAAAACAATGACCACTATAGACTGAACTTGATAAGTTGTTTTGGTCTCAGGGAAACCTAATTGTGTATTGTCCATCCTGTATTGCTCTCTGAAGACAGACACAGATAGAGAGTTGTCAGGAGTCCTTCAAGGGAGTGAGGACAGCAGCACAGAAGAACAGGCTCCAGAACCAGGACCAAATGATGGACCAGAGAACCAGGGTAGAACCAGGGAGGTAGAACCCAGAGCCCATAGCAGGCCCTTCTCCCTGAGTGACTGCCTTCTCAAGTACCTCCTGTTCTTCAGCAACCTCCTCTTCACGATGCTAGGCCTGTTGGTCCTGGCCCTGGGTCTGTGGGACCTCATCAACAAGGAATCCTTAGCTCAGGAGAAAATAGGACAGATCAGCACCGACCCCATGCTGGTGTTTGTGATGCTGGGCTTGGTGCTGTCTACCCTCTGCCTGTCAGGCTGTGTGGGGGCTCTGTGAGAGAACTGCTGCCTGCTCCAGGTCTTCTCAGCCACGGTGCTGGTCCTAGTAGTAGCCCAGGTCCTAGCGGCCATCTTGGCCTACAGCCTGCAGAGACAGATAGAGGGATACCTGAGGTCAGGTATGCTGGCTGCCATGGTGCGCTACCAGGATGACCTGGACCTGAGGTTCATCAAAGATGAGATCCAGATAGGACTGCAGTGCTGCGGGGCTGACAACTACAGAGACTGGGAGGTCAACATGTGAGTGAGATGTGACTGACCAGACCACTGACATGATGACTTGTGATGACATGGTTCATTGACTGACACACAGCCTTGTGAACTGATGTCTGTCAATGGGGGTTGTTATGGTTTCATCATTTTGATCATTTTGATAGTTTGATCGTTTGATCGTTTTAAAATATATATTTATCTCAGAGAATAACCTGTATGAATAAAGATGAAATAAAATATAAATCTGTCAAAGATGTTACATAACTAGGGTTATTGCTTTTATGTCACGTAACATTATCCAAGCAGCCAATTTGATTGGTTACAGTCCTTGACTTCTCCCCTCCCATGTCCTCTCCCTCCCAGGTACTATAACTGCTCTGCCCCGGGGGTGCTGTCCTGTGGGGTCCCTGCTAGCTGCTGTGTGGACCCCCTGGAGAACGGCACGGTGTGGAACTCCCAGTGTGGTGTAGGAGCCCAGCAGCTGGATGAGTTCTCTGCCCAGAGCGTCATCTTCCTGGGCGGCTGTCTGGGGGGCATGTCCCGCTGGATAGAGCAGCACACAAAGCTGATAGGAGCCGTGGGTATCGTCCTACTGGGGGTTCAGATCATCACTCTGTTCATCACCACACGACTGATGGATAACATCCAGTGGAGTCAGTAAAGCTACAAGATAACATCTAGTGGAGTAAAGCTACAAGATAATAACATCTAGTGGAGTAAAACTACAAGATAATAACATCTAGTGGAGTAAAGCTACAAGATAACATCTAGTGGAGTAAAGCTACAAGATAATAACATATAGTGGAGTAAAGCTACAATACAACATCTAGTGGAGTAAAACTACAAGATAACATCTAGTGGAGTAAAGATACAAGATAATAACATCTAGTAGAGTAAAGCTACAAAATAACAACATCTAGTGGAGTAAGCTACAATATGAGATCTAGTGGACTAAAGCTACAAGATAACATCTAGTGGAGTAAAGCTACAAGATAATAACATCTAGTAGAGTAAAGCTACAAAATAACATCTAGTGGAGTAAAACTACAAGATAACATCTAGTGGAGTAAAGCTACAAGATAACATCTAGTGTAGTAAAGCTACAAGATAACATCTAGTGTAGTAAAGCTACAAGATAACATCTAGTGGCGTAAAGCTACAAGATAACATCTAGTGGAGTAAAGCTACAAGATAACATCTAGTGGAGTAAAGCTACAAGATAACATCCATGATGCTAGCTGGACTCTTATTATCACTATGTACTGATGGATAAAAACTGTAACCATGGAAATGTATTATGATTATAATGTCCTTGACTGTAATATAACCAAAGGACGTCAGCCTACTGTCTTGGAATGCTTTTCTGGATGATCTTCATAATGGGACTCTGGTGAAGGAGAATCAGCCAAAGAAGGTGCAATGTGCAGTAGTCTATAAATAACAACTGAGGCAGATTGTTTTATAACAATACAGTGACCTCTAGATAGGAGAGTATATAGAGAGAATAGAGGAGAGAAGAGAAGATTCTCTACTAAGAGAGACTCTCTTATATCTCTCTCTCTCTCTCTCTCTCTCTCTCTCTCTCTCTCTCTCTCTCTCTCTCTCGCTCTCTCTCTCTCTCTCTCGTCTCTCTCTCTCTCTCCTCTCTGTCTCTCTGTCTCTCGTCTCTCGTCTCTCTGTCTCTCTCTCTCTGTCTCCTCTCTGTCTCTCTCTCTCTGTCTCTCTCTCTCTCTCTCTGTATAATCTCCTCTCCCACACACACCCACACACACACACACACACACACACACACACACACACACACACACACACACACACACACACACACCACACACACACACCACACACACAACAACTCATGTAATAGGAAAAGTATGATCTTGATTCATTCCTCTATCTACCCTTTATGGTTGTGAAGTGTGTGCCAGGTGTTAGTATTACCTCAACTTGACTTGGTCATTAAAATAATGAACTCAGCTCTTAAATCATTTATCTCCTGATTGATTTGTTTGATCTGATCACCTCTGTAATGATGGGCCCTTTATCTAATTAAGGAAGCAGATTTCTGATATCATGATTATTGTGTATTTTCTCCATCACTGTTATAGTAATAAGGTTGTCTGAGCCGATTTAGAGCAAAAGTAATCTTCAATTAGGTGGTTGTTGTAATTGAATCATTGAGTACACAGAACATGATGGGGATGGATTATTAGTATAACAATTAATATAACAAAGGCTGATTTATTTTCTCTCCCAAAAAATTCTCAAGCTTTATTCTGAGTTTGTTCCAACCAATCCAATGCTGCTGATAGTTGTGTAAAAACTCCACATGTTCCTCCAATTAGCCAACAGTTTAATAAGGCCCGTAACCTGAGCCAAGCTAAGCTCCTGGTCATCACAACCGATACAGCTGCTCCCAGTTACCACTCCACCACACAGACAGACATGCACACTGAGGCATCTAAAAAACACACCTTCAGCACTCAATACATCATGGACATGACGTATCAAAATGGCCGCTTGACAGTGAGTAGGAAAACAGTATCTAAAGTATAAAAAAGCACAGGCAGTATAAATTAACAATATGCAATACATGTCATAGAGAATTGTTGTTAAGAGTTAACAATTCACAGATGCATTATTGTAATACTGCTAAATGAAATGTAAATTTAATTATATAATACAGGACAATGTATTCAGAGTAGGGTGTGTCTAAGAGATTAGGAACCCTAGGAACTGCAGAACTATACTCTGGAAAAGAATGATCAGATATTTCTAGAGCAGGTACTGGTAGTTGGGAAAAGAAGGATCAGACATTTATACAGCAGGTACTGGAAGTTGGGAAAAGAAGGATCAGACATGTATACAGCAGGTACTGGTAGTTGGGAAAAGAAGGATCAGACATTTATACAGCAGGTGCTGGTAGTTGGGAAAAGAAGGATCAGACATTTATACAGCAGGTACTGGTAGTTGGGAAAAGAAGGATCAGACATTTATACAGCAGGTACTGGTAGTTGGGAAAAGAAGGATCAGACATTTATACAGCAGGTACTGATAGTTGGGAAAAGAAGGATCAGACATTTATACAGCAGGTACTGGTAGTTGGGAAAAGAAGGATCAGACATTTATACAGCAGGTACTGGTAGTTGGGAAAAAGAAGGATCAGACATTTATACGGGCAGGTACTGATATTTGGGAAAAGAAGGTTTCAGACATTTATACAGCAGGGTACTGGTATTTGGGAAAAGAAGGATCAGACATTTATACAGCAGGTTGGTAGTTGGGAAAAGAAGGATCAGACATTTATACAGCGGGTTACGGGTTTAGTTGGAAAAGAAGGATCAGACATTTTTACAGCAGGTTACTGGTAGTTGGGAAAAGAAGGATCAGACATTTATACAGCAGGTACTGGTAGTTGGGAAAAGAAGGATCAGACATTTATACAGAAGGTTACTGGTAGTTGGGAAAAGAAGGATCAGACATTTATACAGCAGGTACTGATAGTTGGGAAAAAGAAGGATCAGACATTTATACAGAGGTCCCTGGTATTTGGGAAAAGAAGGATCAGACATTACGAAGGTACGGGTAGTGGGAAAGAAGACAGAATTTATACAGAGGTACGGGCAGTTGGGAAAAGAAGGATCAGACATGTATACAGCAGGTACTGGTAGTTGGGAAAAGAAGGATCAGACATTTCTAGAGCAGGTACTGGTAGTCGGGAAAAGAAGGATCAGACATTTATACAGCAGGTACTGGCAGTTGGGAAAAGAAGGATCAGACATGTAAAAAGCAGGTACTGGTAGTTGGGAAAAGAAGGATCAGACATTTCTAGAGCAGGTACTGGTAGTCGGGAAAAGAAGGATCAGACATTTATACAGCGGGTTCTGGTAGTTGGGAAAAGAAGGATCAGACATTTATACAGCAGGTACTGGTAGTTGGGAAAAGAAGGATCAGACATTTATACAGCAGGTACTGGTGGTTGGGAAAAGAAGGATCAGACATTTATACAGCAGGTACTGGTAGTTGGGAAAAGAAGGATCAGACATTTATACAGCAGGTACTGGTAGTCGGGAAAAGAAGTATCAGACATTTATACAGCGGGTTCTGGTAGTTGGGAAAAGAAGGATCAGACATTTATACAGCAGGTACTGGTAGTTGGGAAAAGAAGGATCAGACATTTATACAGCAGGTACAGGTAGTTGGGAAAAGAAGGATCAGACATTTATACAGCAGGTACTGGTGGTTGGGAAAAGAAGGATCAGACATTTATACAGCAGGTACTGGTAGTTGGGAAAAGAAGGATCAGACATTTATACAGCAGGTACTGGTAGTCGGGAAAAGAAGGATCAGACATTTATACAGCAGGTACTGATAGTTGGGGAAAAAAGGATCAGACATTTATACAGCAGGTACTGGCAGTTGGGAAAAGAAGGATCAGACATGTATACAGCAGGTACTGGTAGTTGGGAAAAGAAGGATCAGACATCTCTAGAGCAGGTACTGGTAGTCGGGAAAAGAAGGATCAGACATTTATACAGCGGGTACTGGTAGTTGGGAAAAGAAGGATCAGACATTTATACAGCAGGTACTGGTAGTTGGGAAAAGAAGGATCAGACATGTATGCAGTAGGTACTGGTAGTTGGGAAAATAAGGATCAGACATTTATACAGCGGGTACAGGTAGTTGGGAAAAGAAGGATCAGACATTTATACAGCAGGTACAGGTAGTTGGGAAAAGAAGGATCAGACATGTATATAGCAGGTTCTGGTAGTTGGGAAAAGAAGGTTCAGACATGTATACAGTAGGTACTGGTAGTTGGGAAAAGACAGATCAGACATTTATACAGCGGGTACTGATAGTTGGGAAAAGAAGGATCAGACATTTATACAGCAGGTACTGGTGGTTGGGAAAAGAAGGATCAGATATTTCTAGAGCAGGTACTGGTAGTTGGGAAAAGAAGGATCAGACATTTATACAGCAGGTACAGGTAGTTGGGAAAAGAAGGATCAGACATGTATACAGCAGGTACTGGTAGTTGGGAAAAGAAGGATCAGACATTTATACAGCAGGTACTGGTAGTTGGGAAAAGAAGGATCAGACATTTATACAGCAGGTACTGGTAGTTGGGAAAAGAAGGATCAGACATTTATACAGCGGGTACTGGTAGTTGGGAAAAGAAGGATCAGACATTTATACAGCGGGTACTGGTAGTTGGGAAAAGAAGGATCAGACATTTATACAGCAGGTACTGATAGTTGGGAAAAGAAGGATCAGACATTTATACAGCAGGTACTGGTAGTTGGGAAAAGAAGGATCAGACATTTATACAGCAGGTACTGGTAGTTGGGAAAAGAAGGATCAGACATTTATACAGCAGGTACTGATAGTTGGGAAAAGAAGGATCAGACATTTAAACAGCAGGTACTGGTAGTTGGGAAAAGAAGGTTCAGACATTTATACAGCAGGTACTGGTAGTTGGGAAAAGAAGGATCAGACATTTATACAGCGGGTACTGGTAGTTGGGAAAAGAAGGATCAGACATTTATACAGCGGGTACTGATAGTTGGGAAAAGAAGGATCAGACATATATACAGCAGGTACTGATAGTTGGGAAAAGAAGGAGCAGACATTTCTACAGCAGGTACTGGTAGTTGGTAAAAG